CTGTGTGATAGAGTTCAGGTGCATGTAGTTGAGTAGGGTTGAAACCCACGAGAATGTTGTAAACATCTTGATCACGCCCCTACTTTGCCTCATGGCATCTGCTATAAAGTAAAGACACGGCTTGTGGGCGCTAGCGCTGTCCATCAGAGGGGCAGCGTCCCACCGAGACCCAGCTTTCATTCTCATGTCTGTCTTTTCTAAGCCTTTCACCACCCCCACTCAGCGTCACTGAACCAGGCTGAGCTGGCATGGCACATAAGGCGCCCTGGGGCTGAGTGTGCCATGGCCGTGCCGGCTCCCCACAAGTAACATCAGTAGGATATCTCAAAGACATTTCAAACTTAGCACACCCAAAACTCAGCTTCTGACCTGCCCTCCAAACCTTCTCTATCCTCAGCCTTTCCATATCAGCTGATGGAAACACCACCTTTTCAGTTGTTCAGGCCAGAATCATTGGAGTCATCTTTGACTCTGTCAAATCATATTCCATCTGTCAGGAAATCCTATTGGCTCAGCCTTGATGAGACATCCAGAATCTAACCACTCTGGTCAACGAGCAATCCTTTCTTGCTTGGATGAGAGCGGTGATTTTTAACGGTACACCTCAAGAATTTTTAAAGCATGTAATACCTGACTATGTAATCAGGAGTACTGACCTCTTTTCCCTTAAATTGTCAAAAAACAAAAAACAAACAAACAAAAAAACACCAACCAACAAACACAACAATAGCTATCCGGTGTGAACAAATCAAAATTATACCTAATTTTTGTCAGATTGGCAAAAATATATAGATTTTTTTTTTTTGGTGCGCTGCAGAATTTTAGTAATTAGTTATGTGTGCCATGAGATGAAAAGGGTTGAAAATTGCTGGATTAGAGCAATAACCCCTAACTTGTTTCTACTTTGTTAGCCTAAAGCAGTGGTTCTCAACCTTCTGGCCCTTTAAATACAGTTCCTCATGTTGTGACCCAACCATAAAATTATTTTCGTTGCTACTTCATAACTGCAATGTTGCTACTGTTATGAATCGTAATGTAAATATCTGATATGCAGGATGGTCTTAGGTGACCCTTGTGAAAGGGTCGTTCAACCGCCAAAGGGGTCGCGACCCACAGGTTGAGAACCACTGACCTAAAGGCTCTCACCAAAGTAATCAAAGTAATCTTTTTTTTTTTAAGACTTTATTTTTTTAGAGTAGTTTTAGGTTCACAGCAAAATTGGGAGGAAGGTAGAGACAATTTCTATATGCCCCCTGTCCCCACACATGCATAGCTTCCCCTTTTATCAATAGTCCCCCACCAAGTGATACATTTGTTACAATTGATGAGCCTGCATTGACCCATCTTAGTCACCCAAAGTTAGTTTATGTTAGTGTTTACTCTTGGTGAACATTCTGTGATTTTGACAAATGTGTAATGACATGTATCTACTATGACAGAGCATTTTTACTACCCTAAAGTTCTCTGTGTTCTGCCTATTCATCACTCCCCCCTCCACACCCTGGCAACCTCTGATCTTTTTATTGTTTCCATAATTCTGCCTTTTCCATAAAGTCATTGTCGTTGGAATCACAAATATGTGGCATATTTCACTGAGTAATATGTGTGTAAGGTTACTTCATGTCTTTCATGTCTTGATAGCTCTTCTTGTTTTATCACTGAATAATAATTCCTTGTCTGGATGTACTCCACCTAAATGGTTTATTTAGCTATTCACCTACTGAAGGGCATCATGATTACTTTCAAGTTTTAGCAACTATGAATAAGCTGCTACAAAATCAGCGTGCGGTTTTTGTGTGGACACAGTGTTCAGCATCTTGGGGTAGATACCAAGGAGTGTGATTGCTGGGTCGTATGGCACAAACATGTTTAGTTTTGTCAGAAACTGCCCAACACTCTTTTTTACATAGGTATATTTACATACATATATACATATACATAAATAGGCATAGGATGTATATATGAGAGGGTTAAGTTTTGTTTTGCACAGAGGCTTACACATGACTGGAGGGTCGGAGGTATGACAGAAGTGGGCACCGTGGGGTACCAGACACTACAAGATCTGGCCTCTCCATTCTCTCTGACAGTATCTTCTGCCCCCGTTTACTGTTGCTGCTCCTGAAACACAGCAGACACCTCTGATAGACCTCGGGCCTTCGCACCACTTTCCTCTCTGCGCACTCTTCCCACAGACACCCGCCTGGGCCACTCCCTCGGCTGCATTCAAGCTGTGATAAAACAGAGCCTTCTCAGTGAGGCACGCCAGGTATCATCCTGCTTACAATTTCAAGCCGTATCCCCACCTTCTGCAGTCCTGGAAAGAAATGGGGCCTTTTCTCTAGACTCAGGGGTGCCTGGGGATTTGACCCTCTCTATCATCCTCCTTACAACAAGAACGCAAGCAGTGCCTAGGAGTATGGCTGGGCTTCAGGAGAATCCTGCTGGCATTTCCAGTAGAACAAACACCTGTATGTGCTTTATTGTTGAGGTGTACTAGAGGGAGGTAGCTGTGATGGAGAATGACTGGAAATTCATCACATGCCCCTGATGGGGCTGCTCAACTAGCAAGGTATAAGCCCCCAAAGTGGCCCTGCCCACCCGATATCATCTGTCACTGCCATCCACGGCCCAAGTACAGTGCTATGCGGACATTAGAGACTGCCTGCCGGGTCCTGAGACTGGGCTCTGCTGGTGCTGGGCATGCTCTTGTTGCCTGTCCTGCATCCTTTTAAAGCTTGGTGCTGAGGGAAGCCTCTGATGCCTTGTGAGTGTGATGGTCAACTTGAACCTAAGACTGCTAAAGCCAGTAGAGCAGAGTAGGCATTTTAATCCCAATTTTCTTTACCTTGATCTAATTTTTATTTTTCCATGGCACGAAACACCTTTTGACATTCTGTATAATCTAGTTACTTACATTTTTTGGTTATGGTCTGCCTTCTCTCACTAGAAGATAAGCCTCATGAGGACAGGGATTTTTGCCCGCACCCCCATATTTTACTAATATGTCCCAAGCATCTAGAACAGTGTCTGGCACCCACTAGGTGCTCAGTAAATATTTTCTGAATAAATAAGTGAACAAACAAATGTTTGTTTAGTGTTTCTTCAATGCCAGGAATAGGGCATGGTGAAGAGAAGAAACAGAGTAACAGAATTTTATTTCTTAGAGCCTAGAATATGAATACGATCATTAGTGAGATTGGCCATTTACAGAGACCCTTTGGGGGGTTTCCCAAGTCATATCATAGATGAGAGTCA